CGTAAAGAAGTAAGTGAGGCATCATTATCATTATCATCACGAACAACGTGCGATAAAACATCGACATTACTTGATTCACGATTAATAGCAGCATTCGGACGAGCACTGGAGCGAGCCTCTCTTCTCCTCGTTCTTTCCTCGACAGTAAGCGATTCTCTGAGGAATACACCCTTGCCGGGGAAGCTGCGAAGAAGAGAGGCTTTACTAACAGCTATTCTCTGATATTTCGAAGAAGGCATAACAACTTTGATAAGCCGACTCTTCCCAGGATACCACTTTCCTAGCCTATAAACCGATACTGGCAGACAATCAATATTAAGATGCATCAGAATATTAACGACACTTTGAAAATCATATCTGACTCTTTCAAGACAACTACTAGTATGTAACTCAGGAACACCAGCGATGACTATTGAGCGTTTCCGCTCGATCTCCCCATAAGACAAAGGTTTACGGGCAGTAGAATTAGAAACAGGAAAACTAGAAGTCATTTTTTCCTCAAGTCCTCATACAAACGTATACGTTCTCTCAGGGCTTCATTTTCCTTCTCTAAATCTTCAAATGCTTCAAGACGCTCACGCAAAAACACATTCTCTTGGACAATTGCGCTAAGCTGGCTGGAGATCGACAACACGAATTTAGACTCATTGACCTGCTTGAGAACCTCAACCAATTCCGGCGACGCTACTGGGCCATCCGGGGAAATAACTCGAGCACGTTTGCCACTCTTAAGAATGTGTGTGACTGGAGTATCCATTATTAATCACAAGAGCGAGATCAAACAAAAATCCAATATTGGCTCGATTGATCGACTCACGCCAACAAGAAAACACCGAATTGCAAACACTTCACCTGTAGCTGTCGCAATTGACTCGGATAAAACTTTGCCCCCTTGCGACTAGGAGCAGCGCTAGAGGAGAGTAGTTGAAGGCAGCAGATAACGGAGGAAGTAGTATAATAAGAGAATAAACAGCAACACAGAACTTATGGCGGATAGCACAACGAACGCCGCCACGCGCAGGCCGCACACGCGCGTGAATGAAGCGTTTAAACTTCTGGAAAGCTTCTGAAACAAGCGTCTAAAAAAATCTATAAGATGGGCTCTGGAAAATCGTAATTACTTAGGAACAACCCAATATTGAAAGGCTCGGCCTGGTGCCTAACAGTGAATGCGTCTACTTTACTCGAAGATACAGTTCTAGTTGTTGCAACAATATTCAATAATAAAGAGCTGAGAACAAATGTGTTGAGCCTATCAACCACTTTGTTATGAGATTTTCCTGCTTAACAAACCTTCTGACGCATTTCCTTCAGCTCAGCCATGTTACCAGCCTCCTTTATACGTACGCCCATTAGCTGGTCCTCGAGCTTCCGAATGGCTATATAGTCGTCACCATCATCGGATGACGTTCCAACGAAAGGGGCTGTGATCTTCGCAAAACGGCTACTGAAAACAGATCAGGATGGAAAATCGAAGCCTTTTAGGCGTGAATAATTTCCTAGTTGAGATTTGTGAACCTAGATGGGACTCAGCGCTTGAAAACTTCCGAACGATCTATTCAATTATGCCTTCTTACAGATAGAATATTTTTATGATCAGGGTGGTTGCCGCACTTAGCGTTGTCCTGTCAGATTCAGTGCACGTCAAAAATGGTGTATGACCCATTTTACTTTGATTTCTTCGTTAGCGATAACAACTTGAAACTTTGTCCTGAAAGTACATCAACCAACCATGTCATTCTTTGCCATTACCACAAACTAAATCTGTTTCACTCCAATCTCTTCCTCTCTACATATTCTAAAACTCCTTCCTATAGCGGGCTAGCACTTCTCAAGGCTGCTCTCATAGAGGACGGTCCACAGCGGTCCTCGGGTTAGCTCTTCTGCGGAAGATTTACACCAACCAAAAAGCTAGATAACAGCACACCCCTGTCATGAATGCAGCACTATTCAAGGAGGCATTGCATTTTAATTTCATTTTCATCGTTATCTTATCAGAACCACCCTGATGGCCCACTACCGGCGTGACTGCTCCGACTACACTGTATGTGAGAAAAACCGAGTTTTTTTCTCAGATTTATTGTGCTCTGATGCAAAGTTCCGGTAATTTCCAAACATAAGAGAGTTTATATTGACCGGCTTGCCTCCTCGCGTTCGAAGCGTGGTTAGGTAGTAGTCGAGGAACTCGAGGGATGTCAGCCCTTTGCTTAAGTTCCGCTTGCTTCAGTTCCTCTATATGGTCGCCTGGGGTCGCGGTTGAATTCGTTATTCGCGCGTTGAAATGCACTTAGCAAGCTCCAGCCACTGCATCTGAATTTCTGCATTTGGAATAAGGACGATGACTCTTTCGGGGGAATATCCGCCTACCAAAACAGTCAACCCGTTGCCCTGCCACACGCTTTTCGTCTTTACCAAGAGATGTGGCTTGCATAGTCCGAAAGCTCTCATCGACACTTCTACTGCTCAACGGAATTTCGCGTTGGAGCCTTCAATATTGTCCCTAGTAATACTTATTTATGCGCGTATAAATATAAATTTTTAGCGGCACGTCTGTATGTCCACAAAGCTGAGAGTGGGCCCCCCCTTGTAGGAGCATGGCAAGCTACATGTAGGTATCCATTGCTAAGAATGGCTCTCTTTCCCTTGTATCCGAGGAAGCCCACAATACGGCAGCGTTGGGTAGCACCGCCCGGGAGAGGCTGCTAAAATTACAATTGCTAAAAACAGACTGCCTATAAGGGGAAGAACTAAGATGGCGATCTGTGCTATCGAGGCACAAACGCTTGCATCGGAAATGTATCGAAGATCCGATGGTGACAGGAAATCATATACGACGCCATCGGATTACATATCGTATTCAGAATGGAGCAGAAATGTTCCCTGAAATATGTGACAGAAGAGGCGTCGGCGACGTAGCTGTCCTCGTCAATACGCACTTGACGATTCTGTGATTGAAGAGATGTGGCTGTAAAGCAATGGTAAAGTAATTACAGGAAAATCATAGAAAAAAATTGCTGCGTAGTGGAAAACATTCATATCTCCAGACACCTGCCGACAAACTAGTTTACGGAAAATGGCCTTCCACAAACAGTAATCCTCGGAACAACTGACTTCGAAGAGGACTTGATTTCCGACGTTTTTGACGCTTCACTAAAAACCCGTGGCCTGTCTCATTCCGCAAGTAACAGAAGACGTCCCCTGTTTCTTTTTGTCCCATACAGCAGAATTCCATACTGAGTGTTGATAACTGCATGGCATCGGCCCAAATCTCAAGCGAAACTACAGTTTAACAGTGCCCGTTCCTCTTTTGCGAAAATTTGACCTTTCTCGAAATCGGATAGCAACCTTNAAGGTGAAAATGGAACCCGAGGGTGATCATGATAGGGCTGCATCATTTTGAAAGATAAGCGAAGTGATCCTTTCTAAAAAAAATTAAGGGGAGAATCGTCCGAGTTCTACAGATGGGATTTGCTGTTAGTCTACAAAGTAGGGTCCATAAAGGGCACACTTCCTATATTAAGCCTTTTCCTGAAGTGCCCTCAAGTAAGCGGAACTGGAGCTTTGGTGGAATTCATAGGTGACTGTATCATCATTTAAAAGTTTTGTTTTCGTACACTGTTATGATTCCGAATTTTTAAGTGTGCAATGATAACAATAATAACAATAATAATAATAATAATAACTACAACAATGCCATAAATAATAACAGCAACGACAAAAGCAACAATAACAATGACAGTAATGACAATGACAATAATAGTACCAACAATAATAACAGCAACAACTACAACAGCAACAATTGTAACAACAATAACAATAATAGTGATAAAACTAACAACAATAATAATAACAGTAATAATAATAACCACAATAACAACAATCAATCGATAATAGCAATCATAATAACAACAGCAACAATGACAACAACAATGACAATGATAAAAATAATAGCAACAACATTAATGATAATGAACTTCCGCAGATTTCAGTGTTGCATTTTCATGTTGACATAGTGTTTATTTTGTTCTGCTTCGACTCTAACTTTAGTTCTCTTATTTCAGAATGTGACGAACCATGCAGTCAATATTATTACACCGAAGTCCGGTCTGGCAAAGAGGACAGTAGTGAATTAACTAAGCGATGTAACCCCGCAGGAAAGTGAGTGTGATTGCGAAGTAATTAGATTTGTACGAAAATGGAAAAATTCGGATGTCACTCCACCACCAGTTGATAGCGGGCCCTGTGACTTTGCCAACGTAGCAGGGGGACGGAACATTTTCCCATCTGGAGATGCAAGCGGCGAATTGCGCAGCGACTCGGACGACTCTGGCGTTTATCATAGGGCGCGAGCCGGTTTGGAGGGGTGCCGGAACTTCTCCCCGAACTCTAACGGTCAGCGGCAGTCGCTCCACGGCGACTGTCGTATCCTTCCCTGGAAATTCAAATCTTTCCCTTATAGCGGGCGATCGAGTGCGGCGAGCGCGACACGCCGTACGGGGAGAAGATACCACACGCGGGTTTGGAGTAGTGCAGAATAGCACGATCAATCAATCGTGATAATACTACGATTGCAATTATTCATTGAAAATAGATGCTTATTCAGCTCATTTGCCCACTATTTTGCTGCTTTTACTTTTAAACTGACTCCTTCACCAGAGTATATCTCTGTTCATCACTATATTAGTAACTTCGTCAGGTCTCGTTCTCTTGAAACCCTTCTTCTTCTGCAAACAGACTTGTAGCGACTGTCACTACAAAGTATACTCCTGCAGGCGATTGATTGATTCGTTGTACAGATTTTCACTCGCGATCCACACCAGTTATCATAAGCCTGCAGCTCAAGACCCTTGTGTGATCTCATTATGGAGACAGAAATTGGACCCAGCTCACAAACATAGAAATTATATGAGCGATTGACTGATTCACTTAACATAATGGTATTGTTGCATTATATTGTTCCCTAGTGATAATTCACCACAAGGTCCTCATTTTTTCAAAACCTTGTGTATTGGTTTTTTTTGTCACTCTGTCGGTTTGTTGTATAGTGTGTATATGTGTGCGGAATTTCAGTAATGGCCATTATAATAGCATACCTAGTCAACAAAGGAAAAATTAAAATGCAGTCCTTAATCTAATCTTGGCGTACGAATTGCCAACAGCTGTGAGCATTGTAAAGTTTTGAGCACTACACCGCGACAACTTTATCACACTTCTGGTTCTGCTTGTAACATTGCCGGATTTTGGAGAAGGAATTCAGGGTCAATGTCAAGTCAACCCCTGATTCCGTTCTAGCTTTGGAAAGTGCGTAGAAAGAACTATTCGGAAAGCCGTCGTATACTCCAACACAGAGCTCTACGTTCTAGCGTAAAGTAATGCTTTTGCGCTGGCTGGCGCGTGTGCCCGGTGCCTTTTTCAAAACCGACGCAGCGACGTGACCCACTGCTTGCAGCGTGGGTCACACATGGCGGTTATAAACTCTAGAGTGTTTTGGACCAAAACACGGACAAGCAGAGACAAAAGGGCGTGCTGCACCATGAGCAGCACGCGTACGCATTGGTCTAATGATAGGTGATTCACCCAATACATTAAACGAAATGAACCAGATGTAGTCATCAGGCAGGTATCTGAAGCAAGAAGGCTACGTGTATGCTAGAGATATTCTTCCGCTTCACATTAATCACACCAGCGAAACTACCAACATCAGCATATTTCGTTAAGATACGCTAGAAATCTACCAATACGCCATTCGGCATGTAAAAACGATCCGTCCCCAACAAATATGCAGAAAAGAGGACAAAGTCAAAACGCAAATCTAACCATGTTGAGTCCAATGGTAGAGTAGATTCCGGAGCAATCAACTCGCAAGACCTATTAGTTGCGGGACAAAACTGGCTAGCTGCCAAGCAAAACTCGTTCGCTATTTGTTGAGGGTGTAAATTTGTGCACATAAAAAAAGATAAATACAAAACCTCAGCGTCGCAAAAGCGAAAACGAACAACTTCCTGAAACCACACAAGAGTCGTGACGCCGCATGCTGACGACAACTAGTGTGAATCTCGAGAGGAAAGTATGTACAGTGACTCTTCTGCATGATACGTTGCAGGGCAGTCGCGGGAAATCCGCTTGCAGAAACAGGGTAGTAAGAGAATGAGACCTGACGAATTTACTAGTACAGTGATGAACAGAGGGATACTTAGGTGAAAGATTCAGGTTAGTAGTAAAAGCAGCAAAATGGTAGGCTACTGCAATTAATGGGCATTCTTTTCCAATGAAAAATTTCGATCGAAGCATTAGATCAAGCTGTTCCGCTTTACTTCAAAACCGCACCTTATTATAAACGCCAGAGTTGGAAGCCAACAAAATCTACAGGCCCGTCCGTTTCATTTTGCCAATTTTTACAACGATTCGCTGGGGGACTTCTGCTGGTACGATACCACGCCCGTAACCACGCCCCAAATCCGAGAGGATCATTTTTGGGTTGCAAAGTGACGGCTTGATTAGAGTACAGTTTAAAGAGCTTGGAGCCATTGACTGCATTCATGAAAAACAAAAATGGGATCATTTGCCGTGTCATGTTACAACTTAGTAAGCAATCTCTGTAATTACGATAAGGGTTGGTATGGTATCAAAATTGCCAGCAAAACTGAACTTGCTGAAAGGTTATCTTGTAAATAGTCCGAGTGATCAAATTGACTGAGATGGAACAACGACCGACTTCAGTCAACTGGAGAGCTCTTGCACCTTTTCCAATTGTTGGGACATGATCAGGTTTGTTTCTCACCGGAGCGCCTCGAACTGCCTGAACTTTTTCAGCGATGAAGTGGGCTTGATAGTGGATTTGGTATTCTTGTCGTCGTTTTTACGTCACAATAGTTTGCGTCGTTTTGAAATCAAGGGCGTTTTGGACCTCGACATTGATAGAGTGATTTTCGGTTTCCGCCACTGATGCAGGAGTTTCAAAAGTCTTGTAGAACATCGACAAGTCCTACTTCCGCTTCGCTTTAGTATCCTTACCACACATAAAGCTGTGTACGGAAATTCGATATAACCTGAAGAAATGCTTGAAGAAGGCGGGCCAAGTTTAGAGTGGGTTGAGCATATAGTAAGTGCAACAGAGCACA